AGTGGTTACAAAAAATCCAATGGACTTTGTTGCCCCAGTGGTCCAGAAATAATGCATACAATTGAATTAATTCAGTGAAAGTTATTATACACTGACTGCATTCCAGGCCCAGACACAGAGAGGCAAAGTTTTTCATACTATGGAAGATCACATTAAAGAGAGAAGTTAGTTATTGCAGTGGTAGACTTAGGAGTTCTGATAAGGAAGGCTTTGAAATGGGTAAGCAGCTCTCTCTGGGAAAATGAATGTAATCTCTATAGATGAGGAGATGCAGCAAAGAGCTCTACAGAATAAACCAGAACTTTCCAGGCAGAGAGGGAGAAGCTGTTCAAAGGAGAGGAGTAGCACATAAAAATTGATGGTGTTTAGGGGCAGATATGCTGAGAGTCACCATTTAGTTCAGGGTGGCATGTTCTTTTATACTTAGTCAGGGCCTTGATTATCCTTATTGATCTTTATCCAAGTGATTTCCTGCTTTCTTTCATCTCTGAAATCCATTACATCTTTACCAACACCCAGCTATGCACTGTCTAGGTTTCTTTTAAATGATACAGATCCTTATTCTGAGGGTGAGCCAACCCATTCAGAGTAGCTTTCAACATCAAAGTCTTAAATGGCATCATTGATGCTATCACTGCTAACACATGCTTGTCTTTGTTGGGCTCTGGTGAATTGAGTTTATGGGAAGGAATCTGTTATCATCTGCTGTTGAAGACTTTGATCCTGGCCTTTTGGGGGCTTCATGCTGAGTCTAAGCCTTACAGATATTTTCTTGCTTTAAGGGATTAGAAAAAAGATCTAGGTGTCGGGCATGTTTTCCAAAGCCCCTTTGTAGGTAAATAATGGTTGTATGGGAGAAATGTTATCTTCTCAAGCAGAATACAACCCACATGAGCTAGGGAAAATTCTCTTCCATTCTATCTCTGCTGGGTGTTGTCATCCATTGTTGTGTCAGTCCCTTTCACCACTGCAGTTGCTTTTCCTTTCTGCTGAGCTGACTTCACTATCCTTTATTTTCCAGAGTCCAAGTGGGCATCACTGTACGCTGATAAAGTTTTGTTTATGAAACTGGATGGCCTGAATTTTCCTGTAGGGTGCAATTTGCAGAGACTTGATCTTTGTGATTTAGGTCAACAAGAAATCTCAGATTCAGACTGTAGGATGCTGGCCTTCTTTGAAACAATGGCCTCAAAGTCATAAGCAGAGCTATCATCTGCCAGCAAAACTGTGCCTGTTGGGGAGAAGGAATAAAAATAAGTGAAAGAAACAATGATCCCCTTCTTATCTGCCAAGGATCATGTGTATCTGTTCAGGTTCATTCATCATTCTGAGATAACAGAGATGATCAGACCATTTATCGGGTAGCTGATCCAAGCTTACATACTTCCTTCTTGTTGCTTCCATAAATGTCTAGACTTAAGTTACTTCTCTATTTGTGCTATCCCACTGGATCCCAGACATAGTTCCTTTCTTTTTCTCATCCATGTTGTCTCTGTTTACCCTTTTCCTGACCTTCCCGTTGTCTCTTCTCCTTGTCCTTTAACCACAATCTCAGGAAAGACATCAGCAACTTTTGGAGGTCCCTAAGAGGTAAGCCAAACTCAGTTGATTAGATCATGTTTACTTTCCCTTACTAATTCTGAGTTTAGTGGTCATACCTGACAAGCTCCATTGTCTATAGATGGATGAGCTGTGAAGATGACTCAGTGGATAAAGCTGTTGCCATGTGTTCATATGAATTGAATTCAGATCCCCAGAACCCATGTAAAACAGGATATGGTAACACATTTGTGTACAATTTCAGAGCTGTGATGACATAAGAGCAAGAGAGGAATCCTTGTAAGCTGGAGGGTTATTTAGCCTGGTGTACACAATAGTGAATAATAGATACTCTCTCGAACAAGGTGGAAGGCAAAGAGCAACACCTGGGGTTGCTTCCACCTCACCCCAAAATGAGAATTTGCTGATAGCTTTATTCTTTGGAGTAGCTCTTTTCATTCAAGCACTATAGCCTAAGGCTGCTGCAGTAGAGGCTTGGTTAAATTTCAAGTAGTCCCTCCCCCTCCTTTGAGATCCATCTCAGTCTATAACCCATCTGATCTTGAACTCACAGAAATCATTCTGATGCATCTCCCAAGTACTGTACTGGGATTATAAGCACCAGCCACTCTGTCCATTATCGGCTTTCCTTTAATACCAGCTCAAAATCTCTGTAATTCTTTCAAAGACTGAGGGTTTTTTTTGTTTGTTTGTTTTTGTTTTTTCTTTTTGTCTTCTTTGTTTGTTTTTGAATTTTTTGATGAGACCTCTGAATTTTGGGTCTACGGCCTGTCATCTTGTTTTTCCTCATCAGAAATTTTCTTTACCACGTATAATAAGATATTATGACCATCTTATTTTTGTGAAAATTAGAATGCTAACCCTGCTTTCTAATTTTATTTCTTCCCTTATATTATTGGTTATGTTATTGGTTGCTACTGACTTATGCAATATGATTCTTCCCTGGGTACTCATCAGCGGGTGCAGTTTTCAACTTGGCACAGCTCATAACTCAAACTTTGAGAAAGTTTTAAAGCAGATGAGTTGCACAGATGGTCAACAAATCAATCAATGTGGCCATTTTATTTCTTGTAAGGTGATTATTTTGTTCATAGTGACAACTGTATTTGGTTAAACTGCAGTTTCATCAGCACATGGTTGAATCCTCTAGATATGTTAATATATAAAGCAATGAGAGAGGACTAGAACACAAATATTTTTATAACAATCTTCAACGTTTTAACCACTGATTCCAAGAGTTTTGTGGTCTTTATCCTATAATTGAAATTTCCATGCTTTTTGCCAAAGTAATTTTTATTTGGTGTATTTTCCAGGCTCTTGTCTTTATAAGAGTTGTTTGTGTTTTTCTGTTAATTAGAGCGAGTATAGGTCCTGCTGCAAAAGTTTTCTTTGCCTCAAATTGATTGCCATGTGATCTGGAAATCAGACTCTGAGGGTGGCAGAAGATGGGAAGTTTATGACTGATTCATTTCCAGGGCAAGACAACCTGAACAGTAGGAATGGAATTGCTATCTAAGACATTCAAGTCTTTTACTGTCCTGTCAGTAGGACTCATTTTGACTGTGTTTTAAGAAAATCTTAAAATGAGTGTCTGGCCCCAGAGCTTCTTGCCCAGCTTCCTGCTGCCAATTTGCATGGTTCTTGGCTGATATTGATCTGTCCTACTATTTAGTTTGAGAACAATGCTAACCCTCCTCTTAAAGAGGTTTGCTGCCACCTACAGATTGCCTTGTCACTTGTGAACAAAAGTCTGCTTTATTGTACATTTGGATGTCTGTGATGACAACCACAGAGACTGATTACTTCTTTCATCTACTTTGTCTCTCAGGAGAACCAATGGTTTTGGTTACTGTTATTTGCCATAAAACATGGAAAGAAACTCATACTCTCTTGTAAACTATATTTGCAAATTTGCCCATTCACTAAAATTTGCTATCTTGCATGCTCTTCAGCTTAACATCACTGTAACAAAATTTCTGATATAGTCAACCTAAAAAGAAAAAAGGTTTATTAAGTTCATGATTTTCGAGGTTTTGAATCTGTGGCTAATTAGCCACCTTACTTTGGGATTCAGGTGACAGTGTTCATTGTCGCACAATTTTGTGGTGGAACAAACACTTACTTCCTGAACAGGAAGTGAGAGAGAAGTGAAAGGAAGGAATTAGGGTCCTGCACTCTCCTTTGGGACACTCACACACCTTGCCACCACTCAGCTCCACCTCTTCAAGGTTTCACTACCTTCTAATAGCACCACCTTGAGGATAAAGTATGTAATAAAAGGACTTTTAGGGGACATTTAAGAAACAAACCAAGTCAGTGGTGGTGCTTTATATGTTATTATTGGTAATTGTGCAGAATGGTGACAAGTTCAAGTTTTCAGAGCATATCTGCCAGCTGTGGTCACTACCTTCGTGTTTCTATAGTCATACTGCAAACAAGTGATCTTTTTTTCTGTTTTATTTAGTTTCCTATTAGAAACAAACCCCCAAACCCATGCTCCTTTTGTTGCTAATTTTGTGGTTTAAAGTGTCCTTGAAATACTTCCCTATACTGCTGTCTATGTTCGTGTGCTGCAGCACTGTTTGTGGTGTGCTTTGTGGAGAAAATATGTCTGATGAAGAAACTTTGATCAGGTTTCAGCAGTGGTACAACTGGATGAGTTCAAGGATACTGAGTGAGTAGTATATATCACATAAAGATATTTTCAACAGAAACATGCACAAAAAGATGATATATTGATAAGCTGAAAAAAATTGTAAGCAGAGGCTTTCAGCATTCATTTGGGAGCAGATTGGTATTTCCTAATTCAGTATTCAAGATGACTTTGCAGAAGATAACTGGTGAAAAATGAAGATGAACTGAGTACATATTACATTACAGTAGAGATATTGATGTAGAAATAATGGTTATGTAAAAAATAATGGAAAAGGGAATGTTGGCACATGCTTGTTATTGTACTGCCCAAGAGACAGAGGTAAGAAGATCAGGAGTTCCAGTAATTCTCTGTGACATAATGAGTTCAAGACGAGTCTGGACTATAAGAGAACCTCTCTCAGAACAACAACAACAACAAAAAAAACAAAAACAAACAAACAAACAAAAAAAAAACAACAGACAGACAGAAAAGGAATCGGTGGTAGAGCAGTTGCCTAACATGTGAAAAGTTCATCTAGTACAGAGGAACACACACACACACACACACGCACACACACGGAGGAGGGGAGGGAGGATGAGAGGATGGAGAGAAGGAAGGAAAGAGGGGGCAGAGATAGACAGAGAGATAAAGTTGATATAGTTCCTGGATTATGCTGTCCTATCTATGTTGTGGTCCAGCTTACTTTGTTTCTTTGTGGAGCTGGGGATCAAATTCGAGCCTTGGTGCATGCTATGCAGACACTTTGTCCTGAGCTACACACGAGCCCTGTTTGCATTTTTAACAGGTGGACTTCTCTTCCAGGAGTAACTAGCATGGTCAGTGCAGGAGATATGAGTACATCTGGGAACCTAATGGACTTCCTTGATGAGCCCTTCCCTGATGTGGGGACCTATGAGGACTTCCACACCATAGATTGGCTGAGGGAAAAGTCTCGGGACACTGACAGACACAGAAAGGTAGGCGGTACCATGCTAAAGGGGTCTTTGCCAATAGTTCCACAATGTTTCCATCTTCAGGTTAAGATCTGAACCTAAGGCTATATGGTACACAAAGGTTCCACAAAGGAAAAGATCTAGTAAGGGAAGAAAAGACAAAGAATGAGACTTACAATAGTAAGTACTTTGGGTAGAATTATGACCAGTGTAAGCAACTAAGGGAGCCTGGAGCCAGAAACATTTGGACCACACCTTGCCCTTGACAACTTCATGGTAACTGAGTTTGAGGCTATCATTTCTGGGCCTGGTTTTATCATCCTTGAGGGAAAAGGTGATTACTTTGAATAATAGGGGAGATAGAGGGGGGAGAAGATGAGAGGAAGAGGGAGGGGGGAAAATAGAGAGAGAAAGAGAGAGAATGAGAACATCACCATATTGCTAGGCATCTAGTTGGCATTCAATGTATACTGAAATGAGACCCAATACAGTTATATAGCAAATGCTGTGGGCTCATTTAAAAGGACTGACTAAAGAAGGCTTTTCCAGAGAGGCTGTGGCTAAGAGTTTGGTAGTCAGAGAGAGGGGAGAAGTTCTTAAATATAAGGAGTGTGTTTTTTTAAGAGTCACAGAGACATGAAAGAATGCCACACATTGAGGGGTGTCCTGGGTTTGTTGGGGGATTCTCAGGAGATGAATAGAGATAAGCCTAGAAGAGTGGACTGTGGGACTGTGTTAAGAATGATTAAGTTGGTTACAGCCCCAGAGGACAGTAAGGATGTACTGCAGAGATAAAAAACAGGAAGCTTGGAATCATGGTCAGGGGGAAGGAGGAGTTCTTAATGAAGGCTGTAAAAGAGGATGGAAATGGGATTAGGGTCAAGCCATGGAGGGCTTTGGAGGAGGGAGTATATTGAAATAGAGTCATAAAACAGCAGACTATTGTCAGGCAAGGTGATGCTTTGCTAATGAGTAGAGGAAGGAGAGCGGGGATTGTCTTGCAGCAGGGGGGCTGGGAGACAGCATGCTGTACAGCTCATTGTGAAGATGGGGCTCACCTTGGTAAGTGGAAGGCCTCTAACATGCAAATGGCTGCTGAAGCTTGCCACAATGTGGCCTTAGCACTTAAAGAGGGAAGTGAGGATGGAAGGAGGGCTCTGAAAAAGTCACAGTACTGATCTTGGCACAGAGGAAGGCAGGTGGGAGTCAGAGCTAGAGACTTGAAAGAAGCATACAGGGATGAAGTAGAGAACCAAACCAAAAAAAAAAAAAAAAAAAAAAAAAAAAGGTAGGGAGGTTATGATGTCAGAGGAGATTAGGGCTTTTACAGAATGGGGAGGGGGAAAAAGGCATGCTATAAAGATGCCATGAAAGGTCTAAAGAGTTAGAGTAACCCCTTAAGTAAAAATCCATTCTTGTTTTATTTTATTGTAGTCACTGAATCTGATTTACTCTTTGATTACCTAAAATACCCTCTGAAGGGAAACCCTGATCCTGTGTTGCATCCTAATTGCCCTATGAACTAGAAAGCCCATTTGATCATTGTGCTGCATTGCTGCAAGAATAATATGACTGGGAATTTAGTGGCTTAATTACATTCATCTTCTTGGTCACTTTGTTTCCTAAGGAATCTACTTCAGAGAAAGAAGTGTGAACTAGAAAATATGTTCTGATCAACTGCTATATGTACTTCATTTCCAGATAACCAGCAAAAGTAAGGAGTCGATCTGGGAGTTCATTAAGAGCCTTCTGGATGCATGGTCAGGATGGGTAGTGATGCTACTAATTGGGTTGCTGGCAGGTAGGTGTACTGTGCTCCTAAGCACCCTCAAACTCCAGATATTTGGGAGACACTGAAGCTATGGAGTAGTCATCTTCCATCTCAATACAAAAGATTTATTGTTTAAACTAATTAAGATCAAAATAACTGAAAATTTCTTCTAGAACCTACCATCGAGATTAAGGCAAGAACCTGATCCTAACTGTGGCACCACAGACCAAAGTAAAGATGGTTTAAAACAAGCATAGGCTTCTGGAAAGTTGTAATTAACAGTGCTGTTTTATCCTATTCACACACTGAATAAGTTTATGACCACCCTGGGTTCTTAATGAAAGCACACATTTTATATTCTGTTATACCTGGCTGTGTGTGGGGTTACAGTATAAGAAATCATTAATATGCAAGCATCAAGCACCATACGTGATGGGCTTTTCCTACTACAGGAAAGCCCTGAACTCCGTGAAAGAACATGCTATGACATTCAAAGTAATGTTAATCACTCACAGGATGTAAGATGAATCTAAGACAGTAACATCTACACTGTATATACTGTTCTGACCCTTAGAGATTATTTATCCTCCATCGTTATAATCTCAACACCATTTTGTGGATGGTAGACATTCAGCACTTCATGGCAGTTGTTTGCTGAACTTAATTTTTTTTTTAGGAGGTTATGAAGATTGGTGTTAAGCAGCCTTTCTGGAGAAAATACTATGGTGCTTAATAAAGACCTCCTTTCTCTTCATGATTCTAATGTGCAACTACAGACAATAAACACTGAGAAAGCTAGTTCTATGGACACAGTAGAAAGTGAGGGAAGGTGCAGAATGAAGAGGTTTTGGAGATAGGCGTTTCCAATGTTCTTTGGGTTTGGATGTATATTGGAGGTAGATCTAGAAAGTAGCACAATTTTCTCATGGCTCCGAGGGTGGGGAGAACTCAGATACCCACCTGCCTAAAAAAAATGTATTCTAGGTTTTATTTGGATTCCCCTTATAGAGGAATTACATTATCCTCTTCATAACTAAATTACTAGAACTTACCATATGGGGGCAATGTTGCACCACAGACCAAAGCAGAGATATTTCACAGAATAACTGGTATCAGCAATGGAGATTGAGTGGATGAAGAATAATGTGACTGTTCACACTTGAAAAATGATGGCTCTTGGGGTGATTATCAGATCTTTTTCAAATGCTGCTTTCCACTTGAAACTTTGTCTGATCACTCTCCTAAAAAAACCAAAATTTCCTCTCATTGAACCTCTCCCTCACCAGTTCTGTACATGTGTATTTGTATGTGTGTGTGTGTGTATAACAGCTTTACTGAATTATACTACATATATTGAATGATTGTCCCATTTAAAGTGTACAAGTGGATTTTAATATATTTATAGTTGTGCAGTTATCATCATTAGAACAATTCTATCTTTCCCATCTAAATATTATCTGGACCTTTAGCAGTGGAAGGACCTAAACCATTTCCAGTCTTCTTCTTTTCACTACAGCCTTGTCTGTTCTGGACATCCCATATATACCATATCAATGGAGTTGTACAACATATGTGTTTCTTAAAGTGGACCCAGGTCCAGTTGCCTGGCCTAACCCTAACTGTGCCACAAAAACCAGATGACAAAGCTTTTTTTTTCCTCCTACATAAACTAGTAGAAGTATACATGCACATGTACACACACACATACATATGCATGCATATACACTCACTCATACACACATGTACACATATATATGCACACACATACACAATTTGTTAGTGAAGACAGGGTTCTGTGGGCCTGGATGTATCTTTAGAGCTTAGTATCCAGAGGGATAGAAATGAGACAATTGGGAAAAGATGCACAGTCTGAAATGAGAAAAGGGTTTAGGGACAAGCTTCGAGGAAAATTCCTCTTTAGAAAGCTGGTTGAAGGAGTGGTGAAGATCAAGAGAAAGAAAATCCAAAAATGAGGAGGAAACCAGGAGAGGTTAAATGTTGTAGAAGCTATGGGATGACAAGTTTCTACAAGAGTCAAATGCTCAGCAGTTTCCAGTGACGTCAAGAAGCCTAAAACTAGGGTTGGCAACCTTCCATCTATAAAAGGCTAGCAAATAAAGGTTCTCAGCTGTGTGAGCTGTGTAGTTCCTATCTCTGCAATTCAACTCTATAGAAATTTACTACAGCATGAAGAATAGCCACAGTTAGCATGCAGTGAAAAAAATATTTCTATGCTGTGATTAAGCTTTACTAACAAAAAGGCTACATTCAGCCTCTTATTTGTATGTTGCATCACCTGTGTTGTATGTCATTTCTGGAAAATGACATCTTGGAGCAGGCTATTGCTTTCCTAGTGCAAGGAAGGAATGAACTGGACTGAGGGGAGGAAAAGAGGAAAGAAGATACAGTATAGCGTCTGGAGGGAATGGGGACAGGGGGTGACTTAAATGTTGATGAAAAGGAGCCATTGGAAAGAGAAGTGTTGTTTGTTTGTTTGTGTGTGATGTGTATGATATGTGTGTTGTGTGTATATGTGCATGGGTGCACTCATCTGTACACACATATTTGGAGGTCAGACAAGGATATCTTCCTGTGTAAGTTTCTACCGTACTCCCTCCAGACAGGATCCTTCACAGCACCTTGGCTAGGCTGGCTGTCCGGTGACCTTTCAGTATCTTCATGTTGCTTCCCTCAACATTGGGGGGTTTAGGCACATATGGTCATGCCCAGGTTTTATATAGCTGCTGGGATTTGAATTCAATTCCTCATGCCTGCACAGAAAGCAATCTTATCTGCTGAGCCATCTCCCTAAGCTCGAGATATTTTTTTCAAGATGTATGTTAGCAGCTTAAAAAACTTGGAATGAGAGGAGTGGATCCTGAATTTCAGTGTGCCCTCACATAGCTCTCCTTCCTGATTTGATCCGAGAAGGCTTTTGTAGCTATTTGGGCATATATCATAAAGTGCTCAGGTGACTTCCAGGTGAGTGAAAGAAGCTGTCAGTTTCAGTGGCAGTGTCATGGCATAAGTGTGCCCTCAGCTTTGAGAATGCCCTATCTTCTCTCCATGTGGCAATTCTTCTCGGTGATTTATTCTTTTCCTAGGTACCTTGGCTGGAGTCATTGATCTCGCTGTTGACTGGATGACAGACCTGAAGGAGGGGGTCTGTCTGTCTGCCTTCTGGTATAGCCATGAGCAGTGTTGCTGGACCTCCAATGAGACCACTTTCGAGGATAGGGACAAGTGTCCCCTGTGGCAGAAGTGGTCAGAGCTTCTCCTGAGCCAGTCAGAGGTTTGTTATCTGTGCAGGATCCTGCATGTGGACCACCAAAATCTCCAATTCATGAACACCCATGATTTCAGCTTCAGATAATAATCTCTCAATAGTGTTGCCGCATGTTTTCATTGAGTCCTACCACTGCTCAGAATTCACTTGGAAATTTTTGCTCATCCTTGTGGGTATATGTACTAAAAAGTCCCTTTTCTCCCCACCTCTCTCTCTCACTTTGTCCAATTTTTCTCTTTCCCCCTCTTCCCCTATCTCTTCTCTGATTTTTCAAACATGTTCTCACCCTATAGCTCACCTGGCTTGGAATTCACAATAATTCTACTGCTTCAGCTTCCCAAGTTCTGGGATTTTAGGCATGAACCGTTACAGCTGGTGTCACCTTTTGTAAATCAATAGTGGCTTCTTTGTGTTGAACAAATGGAGTTGATTTTCATGTTTTAAAGCAGAAAAAGAGATGTTATCTGTTTTCAAAGTAATACTTTCAGGAAACCAAATTATAGTTCATCAGATTCTTCCACAGATAGTACAATTTAGTGGCTTTTGTCACATTCACAGAACTGATCAAAGTTTAGAATACTTTTATCCATAACCCCCCTCCCCATTGCCCCCCCCAAACTGTCTGAACTGATCCAGAGTCATTGATTGCTAGCTCCCAAACAACTGCTAATGTCCTCTGTCTCTATAGATTTTCCCCTTCCAGATAGTTCAATTAAATGAAATTAAATAGTATGCATATTATTTTCCAAGTTCCTTCATATTATAACATAAAGAAGAATTTCCTTTCTTTTCATTGCTGTATGAAACTCCATTGTATGGATAGACTACATCGTATTTGATGAACATATATTGCTTCTTTTTGATTAGCCTGAACAATGTCACCATGAACATCAGTGTTCAAGGTGAGGACATATATTTCATTTCTCTTGGGTATAGGTGTAACCTCTGGGTGAGAGGTGACCTCTAGATTTAACCTTTGAAGAACTAGTAGGATGTTTTCAAAGTAGATGCATCGTTGTGCACTCCCATGAGCAGTATATGAGGATCCTGATTTGTCTGCCTTTTTTCTAGCACTTGATAGCATCTGTTTTCATTGTAAGTATCCTAAGTGAGTATGGAGTGAGAAGCTTCTCACTGTAGTTTCCATGACCATCTTCCATCGATTTTTTTTTCTGACACAAACAGTGGATAATTTTGTAAGAAGCATGTCTCAAGTAAAAGGATATATAAGTGACCCACAGATCTAGCATTTACCTTCGGTATCTTAGCTCAGGAAAAGGTTAGCATCTAAGTAAATTTACAAGTTACCACAATGAACCAGGTGTGGAGGCACATCCCTTTAAATCCCAGCATTTAGGAGGTGGCAGAGGCAGAGGCAGAGAGGCAGAGGCAGAAAGAGGCAGAGAGAGGCAGGGAGGCAGAGGAGGCAGAGGAGGCAGAGGCAGAGAAGCAGAGAGGCAGAGGCATCGAGGCAGAAGCAGAGAGGCAGAGGCAGAGGAGGCAGAGAGGCAAAGAGGCAGAGGCAGAGGCAGAGAGGCAGAGAGAGGCAGGGAGGCAGAGGAGGCAGAGGAGGCAGAGAGGCAGAGGCAGAGATCCTTGAGAGTTCATGACCAGCCTGGTCTACACAGTGAGGGTCTGAGTCAAGAAGAGGAGTATCATTGATGGATCAAAAAGCCAGGTGAAGGGAGCTAGGTGAAATGCTTCACATCAGGGGTAATGGGAGGACTGTTAAAGGTAGAGAATTCTGGGAGAATATTTGTTATCTATTTGAACTTCCCCTTCATTCTCTGTTTCTTTTGACTGACATTCACAGCTGAAGATATTTGGAATGCAGTTTGCCATTTTACTAAAACATTTTACTTGGTGGAATATTCCTTCACATCTCAGAAGTAGACATAGATCTTGAAATCTCACACATTTCAGTGCTCTCCACTGTTTCCAAAAGGAAATTCTCTACTTAGGTTGATGGGCATTGGCAGATGGGACTGGATGGGTGCAATCTTTTCTCCTGCTTGCAGAATTTGTTCCAGGGGAAATAGAGGTACCTATCTTTTCAACTGGTTACAAGATTTATTCTTTATTTCAAAGAATTACTCTTCAGAAGAGTGGGAAATTGTTTTTAGCCTCCAAAAAGTCTTTATTTTTATTGATGAAAGGTATTCCTTGAGCTGATTGCCTACCAGAGTGTTTGAAATATGTGCTCACATTGCAGTCTCCAGGAACATGCCCTTACATTTAATAGGCACACATGTGACTGTGGCCATGGCCTGACAGATAGGTAACCTCTGTTTTCTTTTCTTTCACTTGAATAATCCAGATGATGAAAACAAGCTAAAGCTTTGAGAAAGGAGAAAGGGCCCAGACTATGTTTGTATCAGAATTAAAAATATCCTCCCATCAGCTACTTTGGAGCAAATAGTCCAGCACATTCTTCTGAAAAGAACGTTTAAGCAACTCCCTTAAATGAGTACCTGTCAAATGTTAACACTTGTTGGAATCTTCCAGAAACTTGTTTAAATGCACTGGGCTATATGTCTGTGTGAAGTATCTGATTTGGCAGCCCTAAAGTGGGGCCCACAAGTTATGTTTCTGCCAAGCTCCCAGGTGATACTAATGCTGTTGGTCCATGAACCACACTTAGAGAATCAGTCTTCCCAAACATAGTGCCGACACTTATTCATTGTGGTCCAGGTATGGCTGTAATGAAAGCTGAGAGACGACATTCCACCACAGACAAGACAAAACAAATCTTTCAGAGTCTCACAGGCTGAGTTTTCTGCACCATACCTTTTATTAACTACAGTGCAAACGGTGATTACAACCCAACATCATGCTTACTATCCATTCCTGCTGAGATTTCATCCACTGGAAGGTTTCTATAAATAGCTTCCAGAGAAACACCTGATGCTGTTTGTCTGTAGTGACTGTAACAATAGCCACACCTGGTTCTTTTGTTTATATAGGCTTGGGATAAACCTCTCTGAGCCATCACAACTCCACTTTCCCTGATGGAGATGGCGAGGTTGGGTACACTGTTCTCATCTGCTATGGCTCATTGATTCTTCCTTGTCTTATGTCTGCTCTTTAGGGTGCCAGTGCTTATATTCTGAATTACTTAATGTACATTCTGTGGGCATTGCTGTTTGCATTTCTCGCTGTCTCCCTGGTACGTGTGTTTGCACCATATGCCTGTGGCTCTGGCATACCTGAGGTAAGTTGTTGCTGAAGTACTGTGTGCCAGCTATAATACCCACAATGAGCATGCTTGGTAGTCCCTATTGGTTAGTTCATTTAGTAGTTAAGGAAACTAAAATGCAAACCAATTAAAGTACTTCCCTAAAAAGTCTCTAAGCTGAAAAGCTTTGAATTGGGCCCAGCAGTCTGGCTTCACAATGAGTACTACTGTATTAAGCAGTTTTGATCTGTTGCTTCTGCAATGATTAGACCTCTTCCTTGTAAGCCAAGATAAACTCTTAAAGCCTAAAGAAACTGAGTTCACAAAACATACATATAAATGTGCTACTGTAGTAATTCTATGACGTAATGTGAAAAACAGACAATAGTGGAGAAGTATCACTGGGAAAGATTACTGGTGATCAGAAGCTTCTGCCATATTGTGCCTTTCTGGTGACAGAAAAGTTAAAAACATTAACTCTATTTTTAGAACATTATAGTAGGAATATGCCTCTGTGACAGTATGGTTCTTGTAAATAGCTTTCAGCAATTTCTTGTAACCAATGTATCAAGAAAGTGACCTCATCATTCACTGAGACCAAGCTTGAAGTCTGGGAGAATCTGCTGGGTAAAATGATGGTAATAGAGCTGACTCCTGAATATTCCCAGGCACAATGGTAACCAGAATTCATAAAATACCTTGCATGTTTACTCTAGTCCGAATACTTCCATTGTTCCTTGAGTGGAAATGGATAGAGTAAGTTAAAAGTCGAGTTGTATGCTGATGGTGGCACTGGGTTTCTGTCTGACCTTTTGCTTTTTAAATTTTTATTTATATAAAAATTGGATACATGTATCTAAGGCTATAGTGAAATGTTCTGTGTAGCCAAGGATGACCTTGAATTACTTATCCTCCTGTATCAATTTCCCAGGCTCAGGATTTGCAAGTGTGCACTACTAGGCTTGGTTTATATGTTACTGGAAAATGAACCCAGATCTAACACTCAACTAACTTAACTACCTCCCCAGTCCAGTGTACCTTCTGTACACTGATGCTGGTGCATGTAGTTCTCACAAAGGCATAGATGATGTATAAGGAAGATGTACTGAAAAGTAAAATATAGGCTTTCTTCAGAAAAGAGAGTAAAAATATATATTGATATTGTCATACTGAATCTTTGGCACTTTATTTTGACATATTACTTCAAGAGGACCTAAGCCGAACTGCTTTACCACCTCTGTTAGCCAGTGTTCTATTACTGTGAAGAGACACCATGACCATGACAACTCCTATAAAGGAAAGCACTTAATTGGGAGCTTGCTTATATTTTCAGAGGTTTCATGCATTGTCATCATAACAGGGAACATGGTGTCATGCAGAAAGACATTAATGCTGGAGAAGTACCTGAGAGTTCTATGTCTAGAAGACAGAGAGAATGAGACAGACAGACAGACAAGGCTGGGCTTGGGCTTCTGAAACCTCAAAGCCCAACTCCCAACATAATTTCTTCAACAAGGCCACATTTCCTAATCCCTCCCAAGTAGTACTACTCCCTGATGACTAAGCATTCAAACATATGAACCTAAGGGGAACATTCTTATTCAAACCTCCACACAACTCTATTTCTTCTGCACAGCTAATTCTGCTCTAATGAAGTGTATACACTTTGAAAGCATATGGTACTATGAAAAATGGCATACTGAAAACCATAGGTTTATGAGGAAAATAGGTCAGAGTGGGGGTCATAATATCAAAACCTAACACACATACACAGAGAAACCTGCTAAGAATAGTATCACAATGTCATGAACATTACATGGCCTCCACATATGTAAATACTACAATAAATAAATACTTCACTTATTGAAAAACTTCGATGTTTGCTTGTGGAAAGTTGAGGCTAACAGGATTGTAGCTTAAAAGAACTAAAGTGATGTACATCCAAAAATCAATAGAAAGTTGTCACAGGGGATACAGGCAGCCATGGCACCTTAGCAGAGGTTTGAGATGGTAGGCATTAGAGTCATATTAAAATGCACATTTTGTGCTTTCCTACACAGCTCAGTTCAACTAGAGGCTCTATTCACATTGTATTTCTCTATTCACATTGTATTTCTCTGGAGGGAAATTATCCATAAAGCAAAATTTGCATTGTTTAAACTCTTCTCTGATGAATGAATAGCATAGGTGGCAATTTGTATATTCAAAGAAAGTATTATTGCAGATCTGGCTTATTATTTGCTACTCAACGCCTAAGGGACCCTGGAAAAATTAAAAGGATAGATAATTATTACTGTTACAGTTACGATCTTACTGTCCACTAATAGGTATGTTTTTACTCAAGCTTTTACCCGCAAAGGAAGATAGTTATTAGGGATACTAAAACAGCAATAAATTGCATGCTGGATCAATCCTCTTCTCCTTTCCAAGAACCAGAGAAAAATGGTTTTGCTGGTAATCTTGGAGACAGATATGACCTTTCTTTCTTCTCCAATGTGGCTATCTTATAAAATAAATTTTTATTTCTTATTACTTTGTGTGTGTGCACGTTGTGTACCAACATATGAGAGTCTCTACACATATGATAGTGCTTGTGTGGAAGTCAGAGGAAAACTTTGCGGAGTCATTTCTCTCCCTCCACTTTTATATGGGTGCTGGGAATTGAACTAAGGTCATAGGTCATTAAGCTTGATTTGTAAGTGTTGTTGTTGTTTTTTTTTCATGCTGAGCGATATTACTGACTCCAAAGTAGATATCATCTTTGATGACAGTTGCACATTCAAGTTTCTTATGTGACAAAATGGAATGTGACACAGATGATGCTCATAACAGTAATGTAAAGTGTGCAAAATAAAAGTGGATCATTACCTTAAGCATGGTTCTATTCAGATGGCAGCCACAGGTAGCTACAATGAAACAACCTATGTACTATCTTGATCAAGGAAAGCAACTGAATTATTGGAAGTGGAGGGGGAAGAAGGAAGGTTCTACTGAGGAGGCAAACAAGGCTTTCAAAGGCATGTACTGAGTAAAATATATGTGGGTGATTTCCCTACTTACACGTTTATTTTTCAAGACAGGGTTTCTCTTTTGTAGCCTTGGCTGTCCTGGACTCACTTTGTAGCCGAGGCTGGCCTCCAACTCATAGATATATGCCTGCCTCTGCCTCCCCAAATGCTGGGATTACAGGTGTGTGCCACCACACCTGGCCTATTAACACTCTTTTAACCACATACAATTACTTAAAAAACTTTTAATTGATTCTTTAGGATTTCATATCAAGCACCCCAATCTTACTCATTTCCCCATCCTTCCATATTTGCCCTCTGCTCTTCCAAACCCCTCCAAAAGAAAATAAAAAATTAAAATAAAAAATAAAAAAAATATCTCACTGTGGATACTGTACTGTGTCAAGCAGTATACACTTTTGTCTAAATATCTTTGCATGCAAATGTTCATTGCAATGAGTCATTGGTCTGGTTCAAAGTTTCTGTCTTCTGCTACATTATCAATATTGGATCCTCACAGAGACTCTTTTAGGATATCCTGTTGTTGCCTATGTTGTGGAGATCTGCTGTGTTGTACCTGAAGGACCAGCCTCTTCACACACTCCAGCAGTTCACAGATGGGGTAGATTTTGGGGTGGGCTAATTCAAAGCCCTGGATCTGAGCGTGGGTGATACCTGAGTTGGTCAGCCTGCCAGCTCTCCTTCACCCACACCACCAGGGCCAGCTCTCTAGCACAATATCAGTTAGCACTTAAGATAGTCTGAAAGTTTCATGAACCATTAGTGGTCTCACAGTCAAGGTTGGCTAGTATGAGTCAGCAGTAACAATGCCTGCACTGTTAGTGTAGCAGAGCTGGAAATCCTTTACCTAGGAAGACAGAACTTACCATGGTTCTTGGAGAAGATGGACAAAGAGAAAAGTCTATGTCAATATATATTTTGTTCTTAAAGAAACTTCTCTGAAAGGCAAATGGGATAGACATCAGAAGATGGAGAAAACAGGGAACAGAACAGAAGCCTACCAGAGAGGGCCTCTGAAAGACTCTATCCAGAAGGTTATTAAAGCAGATGCTGAGAGTCGTAACCAAACTTTTGGAAGAGTGCAGGGAATCTTCTGAAAGAAGGGAGAGATAAAAAGACCTGGAGGGAACAGGAGCTCTACAAGGAGAGAAACAGAACCAAAATATCTGGGCCCAGGCGTCTGTTCTGAGGTTGATACTCCAACCAAGGACCATGCATGGAGATAACCTAGAATACCTGCACAGATGTAGCCCATGGCAGCTCAGTCTCCAAGTGGGTTCACTAGTAAGAAGAACAGGGGCCGTCTCTGACATGAACTCAGTGGCTGGCTCTAATATCACTTCCTCTGAGAAGGGCAGCTTTACCAAGCCACAGAGGAAAACAATGCAGCCAGTCCTGATGAGACCTGATATGCTAGGGTAAGAGGGAAGAGGAGAAAGACCTCTGCTCTCAGTGGGCTAGGGAAGGGGCATGGGAGGAGAAGACAGAGGGGGGAAGGGATTGGGAGGGGAAGAGGGAGGGGGCTACAGCTTAGATCCAAAGTGAATAAATTGTAATAACTAAAAAAATTATATATATATATATATATATATATATTTCTATATAAAGAAGCTACTCTGAGTCAATAGCCGGGTTACAGTGGAAACTGATTTAAATTAGGAGTTGAGGACATGTTGCTTCACATTAGTAAAAGTATAGGCTGAGCTGCTTACAAAAGCTGTTATATCTTACTGGAGTCATGTGATCTGGTGGAATATGTTGATGGCAGGTGACAAAGAGCAGAATGAACACAATGCACATAGGTACATATTCACGTTTTTATGATGCTGATGATGAGACTGACAAGCTCTCTGCTACTGAGCTACAAATTAGACAAGTGAATTTTCAAAACTGCTCATCCTTCTAAGAATTTTCTTCCACAATATTTTGATTATTTAAGATAAAAATCCCCTTGGTAACTTTTTAGGCAGGTTCTCACATATAACTCAAACTGTGTGGAATTACAAT